CGATTTGAAGACCCCCTGGCTGATCGCAAAGCCCGTGAAAGAATAACAACGATGAGGCAGGGCAAACGCCCAGTGGCTGAGTATACACAAGAATTCCGGGCCATTGCCAGCAAACTGAATTGGCCAGAAGACATCCTCCTTGGCCATTTCAAAGACGGACTAAACTATGATCTATATGATGCTTGCCTGCCCCGAGGGGACCCACATCGACTTGAGGAATGGTACGTCTTGGCAGAGGAAGCAGAGATCGACATATTGAAGAGGCACCGCCGAGGAAAACAATGGAGCCGCCCCCCGCCTGAGCTGACACACCAACCGGTGAAATCATCGGATACAGCCAAGAAGCAAATGAGATGTTTCAAGTGCGGAAGAGAAGGGCATCGAGCTGTAGAATGCCGCTCAAAGGCCCCCCAGCACAACCCAGACAGATCCCCAATCAACAAACCCGGAAAGTATTCAGCTAAGCCAAAAGAAACGGCCATGAGAATGATGGAAATTGCAGAAACCCCCACCTCTGCTCACCAAGGGGAAAGGACTCCAGCCTACACCATAGGGCCGGTGGATGCCTCAGATGACAGCTCGGAGGGCGAACCCCTGGTAAGTGGATGCATCACACCCATCTTCAAAACAGTGACTATATTAATCCCCCCCATGCCCGAAGCTGTGAAGGTGAAAGCCTTAATAGACTCTGGCTGTACCCGCTGCCTCATTAGCCCAACACTAGTGGGGAATCTGGGCATCCCATCCAGGAGACTGGAACAACCAATCTCATTTGGCCAGCTAGATGGATCCATAGCAGGGGGGGTGCCAGCTACCCTAGCCACTTTGCCAATACATCTCTCCCTGGGCAACCATGAAGAGGACTTAACGTTTGTGGTGACCCCAGGTATGGAATGCCCAATGATTCTAGGGATGGAATGGTTGAAAAAATGGAACCCCTGGGTAAATTGGAGGACGACAGAAATCAAATTCCCGAAGGGGGACCCTATGGACTTAAAACCCCAAGGGAGGCTACCAGAATCAAGAATAGAAAAAGCATCCATAGGAGAGGAAAAAAGATTAACAGAAATACCAGAGGAATATAGGGACCTTGCTGAAGTCTTCAGTGAGGAGAGGGCGAATGAGCTTCCCCCCCACCGACCCACAGACTGTACCATTGAATTCAAGCCTGGGGCAAAACTCCCGAAGCCCAGATTATACTCCATGAGCCCAAAGGAGAAGGAGGAAATGGAAAGATTTATAAAAAAAAACCTGGAGAGAGGTTTCATTGAGCCATCCAAGCCTAAAGTGGCTGCCCCGGTCCTTTTTAGAGAGAAGAAGGACGGCTCTTTACGTTTATGCGTGGATTATAGGGCCCTGAATACAATCAGTGAAAGCAACCTATACCCGCTGCCCCTCATGAAAGACATGCTGTCACACCTATCGAAAGGGAAAATTTTTTCTAAACTAGACCTAAGGGAAGCTTACTATCGAGTGAGAATCAAGGAAGGGGACGAATGGAAGACTGCATTTAACTGCCCCATGGGGTGCTATCAATTCAAAGTCTTGCCATTTGGATTACAAGGGGGCCCTGCAGTCTTTATGCAACTAATCAATGACGTTCTAAGGGAACACCTGTTTAAGGGGGTCCTTGTTTACTTGGACGACATTCTTATCTTTACCGAAACAAAAGAAGAACACGTCAAACTTGTCAGAGCGGTTTTAAAGAAGCTGCGAGCCGCTCACCTATATGCCAAACTCTCAAAATGCGAATTCCACCAGGAAAGGATAGACTACCTAGGCTATCGCATATCCCCACAGGGCATTGAAATGGACCCGGAGAAGGTCAAGCAGTATAGAATGGGCACCACCCCGCACAAGAAAGCAACTACAAAGTTTCCTGGGCTTTGCAAATTTTTACCGCCAATTCATCCCCTCATTTGCACAGATAGCCTTGCCCCTCACTAACTTACTAAAAACGAAGGGAACATCCTCAGTAAAACCTAGCCAGCCACTAACATGGACAATGGAGTGCCAAGCAGCGTTTGAGAGACTAAAGAGACTTTTTTCTGCCGAACCAGTACTAAGGCACCCAGACATGGACAAACCCTTCATAATACAGGCAGATGCAAGTGATGTGGCAGTGGGGGCTGTGCTATTACAAGAAAATGATGATGCAGTATTGCAACCCTGTGCATATACATCTAAGAAACTCACGGAAACAGAACAGCGCTGGCCCGTATGGGAGAAGGAGGCTTATGGGATACGTTGGGCATTACTCACGTGGCGACAGTTCCTGGAAGGCAACAAAATCCCCTTCCAGGTATGGACTGATCACAAAAATTTAGAAGCCCTGAAAACTTCCAGGAAACTCAATCCCAAACAAGCCCGCTGGTCCCAGCATTTTCACCAATTCCAATTTAAGCTCAAACATTTACCAGGAAGAAAGAACTTCCTGGCAGATGCACTATCTCGCATGCCCCAATATAACAGCGCACGAACCACAGACTCTAGACCAATAATGGCAGAGTCACAACTGGCAGCGCCAGTAACCACAAGAACCCAAGCCAAAATAAAACCACAACTGGACAGCCAAACTGGGATTGAATTCAGAAAAAGTTTGGAAACAGATGATTGGTTCCAGAAAAACAAACATGTGTGCACAATGAGAGACGGATTGCCTTGGGTAGGGGAAAAGTTATATATACCAACAACTCAAAGACTAACTTTCATGCAACTTTGCCATGACACAAAATCAGCAGGGCATTTTGGATTTGTAAAAACTTTACACTTAATTAAACGGCAATTTTGGTGGCCATCAATAAAAAAGGACATAGAAAGTTATGTTGCCAGCTGCCCACCCTGTGCATCAGCAAAGAGGTTGCAAGGGAAATCGCCAGGGCTGTTACAACCAGTGGCAAGTCCCTCAGCCCCCTGGAGGGAAATAGCCATGGACTTTATAGTGGAATTGCCTGAAAGCAATGGGAATACTGTTATCTGGACAGTCACGGACCTATTTTCCAAACAGGTGCACTTTATCCCTTGCCAAAAAATTCCCACTGCAAAGGCCTTAGCAAAACTTTTTATCCAGCACATTTACAGATTGCACGGGGCACCCCAACGCATCATCTCTGATAGGGGAGTGCAATTTACGTCTGCATTTTGGAAGGAATTTTTATCCCTCTTAGGGACCACTCAGGGATTGACATCTAGCCACCACCCTCAAGGAGATGGACAAGCGGAACGCTGCCAGTCGGTACTTGAGCAATATTTGAGATGTTTTTTAAATTTCCAACAGAGTGATTGGACGGACTTACTTCCTTTTGCAGAAGTTGCCTACAATAATGCAGTCCACTCCAGCACAGGCTACACTCCTTTTCAAATAGCCAACGGCCAAAGTTTCAACCCTATGCCAGAGTTAACCCCAAAAGAACCAACGATCCCTTCACTGAAAGAATGGATGGAAAACCTACAAAACACCTGGCCAATAGTCAGAAAATCACTAGATGAAGCTAGGCGGGCATACAAAGCACAAGCCGATAAAAAAAGGGTTGAGCCTACACCATTCATTATAGGAGAAATGGTGTACTTATCTACAAAATACCTAAAGTCCCTACAGCCCTGTAAAAAACTTGGACCAAAATATATAGGACCTTTTCCAATTAAAAGGATCATAAATCCAGTAACAGTAGAATTAGAATTACCCAAAAACCTCAGGCAAATACACCCAATTTTTCATTGCAGCTTGCTGAAAAGAGAGCATCAGTCACCTCTACGGCCAAAAATCCCCCCCCCACCACCTCCAATCATGGTGGAGGGGGAACAACACTTCGAAATAAAAGAGATCCTTGACTCTAGGAGATATCGTGGAACAACTCAGTACCTAGTTGCCTGGAAACACCTCCCTGCCTCACAAAATGAGTGGGTCCATAAACGTCACGTCAGAGCCCCGAAGCTATTGAAGAAGTTTCACACAGAGTATCCTAACAAGCCTAACTAAATTTTTTACTTGTGTTTTCTTTCAGGTGGATCTCTCTTATTGTTAAGAGGGGCCGGATGTCAGAATCCAATCATATTTCATCTTTAATTATCAAATATAGAAACTCCCAATTCTGCCTTCTTTGGATTCTGCCATAAGAGGGAGAGAAGGGGGAGAACAAAGGGGCTTTATGGCCCTCACTTCCTTCAGTAGACTTCAAAGAGCTGAATGCTGAATGTGTGTTTATTGTAACCTATTGTAACCTCAAAGCGTTAGCATCCAGAGAACATTAGCATTAACAAAGAAGAGTATTTGCCTTTCATGTAGTTATCTGAAGTCTCCATCCAGACGGAAGAAAGAAGAAACGGGGTGGAATTGTGATACTTGAAACTATCACTGGAAGGGGGGTTGATTGGGTGGGACTACTGGGGAACCCCTTAAAACCTTGAATGGGAGAGCTTGGACCCCAAGTCCTGTCTAGCATGCCTGCAACCATTTTCTCTTAATAAAGGATTCCTGTTGGAAGAATTATTCCAAGAGTTCTGTCTTCTTAAGATGCAAAGTGGGGTGGGTCCTTACAATGACATCTGATTGATTCTCTAAACACTCATTCTCATTGACTACAATCAGATGAAGGAAATCTACCTGAGATCAACCTAAGCAAGTTGTGCTTCCTTTTTCTGGTTATTTGGCTATAACTTTTCATAGAATACAGTACAGGTAATTGAACAAACTTTGTTGCATTACATTTTTGATTAAACTATCTTTCCATTGATATATAATTTTATGGTACTACTCCCCCCAAAAAGGGGTGTTATTAGCCATCAAAGCTCAAATGTACACTTTTCCCAAAAGGTTTCCACAATTTTGGCCACTTCTGTAGATGACAGATTTGCCACTTTTGTTAGCCGGGCACTAGTAGGTAGGAAAAGAAATACCTTGCTTTCTTGCCTAGGTTAAAATTAGTGCTTTTACACCTTTTGCTAAAAGTTGCTTCTTCTACCTTCCTCTGCTGCCTTTCTTGTGCTGCCTGGGTGTAAAGTTTTGGGGCCAGAAACAGCAGGCAGAGCCGGTAAAGCCCACTCTTCTCGTGCATGGGTGCTTCGTAACTGTGCTGAATTTGTACATCTTGCTGCTAGCTGTGTTTTCCCCCCTTCCCTTTTTTCTCCTCCCACACACACTCTGGGCAAAGCCACTGCCATTTTTGTCGAACGGTATTGTCTCCATTTTTCTGTAACGTCCGCTTGCTTCCAGTAGGCTGCCTTAGCCAGAGTCTTAAATATACGTAGATATATTTAAACCCATACTGTTTTGTTCACGTTAACATCCAGAGTCCATTTGTCATGGCGAGGGGGATCAGAAGTGAATTGCAGTCAGATTTACTGAAGCTTCTGATTTGGGCTCAGTAAGAATAATTTCTCAGAAGACCCCCTTAAGGAGAGAGAAAAGGTTGCAAGGGTCACAGTCAAATTTCTGCTGGGCTTCAGGGTGCCTTCTCTTTTGGGATCCCAACATTTATCATGACCTCAGAAATTAATATTTCATCAGTGGTGGTGGGCATGGACACTGATTAATCATGGACACTGATTAAGGCGTGAATGCAGGTAGTCCTCAACCTATGACCACAATTGAGCCCACAGCTTCTGTTGCTAAGCAAGACAGCTGTTCAGTTGTTCAACTGCATCCGGTTTGGGTTGTCATATTACTAAAAAGATGCTGAGACTCTAGAAAGAGTACAGAGAAGAGCAACAAAGATGATTAGGGGACTGGAGGTTAAAACACAGGAAGAGCAGTTACAGGAATTGGGTCTGTCTAGTTTAATGAAGAGAAGGACGAGGGGGGACATGATAGCAGTGTTCCAATATCTCAGGGGCTGCCCCAAAGAAAAGGGAGTCAAGCTATCCACCAAAGCGCCTGAAGGCAGGACAAGAAGCAATGGATGGAAACTAATCAAGGAGAGAAGCAACCTAGAACTAAGGAGAAACTTCCTGACAGTTAGAACAATTAACCAGTGGAACAACCAGCTTCCAGAAGCGGTGAATGCTCCAACACTGGAAGTTTTAAAGAAGAGACTGGACAGCCATTTGTCTGAAATGGTATAGGCTTTCCTGCCTGAGCAGGGGGTTGGACTAGATGACCTTCAAGGTCCCTTCTAACTCTTGTTATTCTGTTAACTATCCCTTTTACTTGGGATGCTAGGAAATATATGCATGCACAAAGACTTTATCCAACTTTTATCCACACCCTTATCCAACTAAATCTCAGCTTCTTCATTTTTCAAAGTTGTACCGCAGTGGTGGTGATGATGATGATGATTATTATTATTATTATTATTATTATTATTGGAGAGAACCAACCTAGAACTAAGGAGAAATTTCCTGACAGTGAGAACAATTAATCAGAGGTTGTGGGTGCTCCAGCACCGGAGAGTTTTTAAGAAGAGATTGGACAACCATTTGTCTGAATTGGTCTAGTCCAGAGGTAGGCAAGGGAGAGGTTTCCAAGCTGAGCCAGGCTGGCTCAGGAATTCTGGGAGTTGAAGTCCACGAGTCATAAAAGAGCCAAGATTGCCTACCCCTGGTATAGACCCACACCCCTACATACACCCCTGAAAAAGCCAGAAGACCCATGGCACAGGCTTAGCCAGTCACAGAAGGATGTCTGCCACATTTGTGAATTTCCTGGCTTCAGAAGGGCAGTGTGAAAACAAACGGAGGTGTCAAAATGTAAACGATGAGTTAGGAAACATTTCTGGGGGAAAAAAAAAAACTTTCCCCAAGAATTCCTACTTTCCTAACCCTTCTAAAAAATACAAAATGCTTTTCTTAACCTCTTAAAAAAAAAAGTCCACTGGAAAAGTCGTTCATATCACCCTCTAGCTGCAATTATAAACGTCACCCTGGTAAGAAACTGAATTGCCCCCTCGTAGCCAATAAGCAACAACAGCAAGAATACACTGGGTGGTTACAAACAAATAGGAAGCGAGAATCCTTCTTCTTAGTCCTGGTGAATGGCAGAAAGGATCGTATCCCCCGAAACTGAAGCTGAGCATTTCCAAGATCAAAGATGGCTGTCATGGTTCCGACAGATGAAATTCTTCAAAGAACTTTGAGGCATTGTTTACCTTAAAGAATCTTTATTCAAATAACATGGCATCAGCATGTACATGGTCAAAGCCAAAATCTGACTTCCCCTCCCCTCAGCACATAGTATCAAAGCACAATTCCCTCCTACAACTAACAGTCATAAATCGCATTCTCCAATTAGTTTAAAATGCTGGCTTTCCGGCCATGCCTTATCATCTCTTATTATGATATTGTTATGTCTAACTAACTCCCATCACATTCCTCCCCCTCCCCCAGTATCATCTAAAATTCCAAGAGTAAAGCAACAGAAAGAAAAAGGCTGCATCTCCATCTGTTGTCAAAGCAAGAATATCCAAGGTTAGCAGTGTTGACATCGGCAATAATTGAGGTCCTGTAGTTTTATAAACAGAGAAGAGATGTTTGCAGAGCATGGGCAGCTGACTTAAGAGCCATTTGTTTAGTGACTGTTCAAAGATATAACAGCACCGAAAACAGTGACTTGCGTTTGGTGCTCACACTTCCATCTTTCGTGGCCTCTCCCTACTGTCAGCATGATCAAGAATTCAGGTGCTTGGCAATTGGCACGTATTAACAGCTGGACAACCATCTGTCTGAAGTGTTATAGGGTTTCCTGCCAGAGCAGAGGGGTGGACTAGATGACCTCCAAGGTCCCTTTCAACTTTATTGTTGTTATTATTATCTTGTCATGTGATCACCATTTGTGACCTTCCCAGCCAGCTTCCGATGAGCAACATCAATGGGGGAAGCTGGATTTGATTGATGACTATGTTAATAATAAATAAATAATAAAGTTGGAAGGGACGTTGGAGGTCATCTAGTCCAACCTCCTGCTCAGGCAGGAAAGCCTATACCATTTCGGACAAATGGCTGTCCAGTCTCTTCTTAAAAACATCCAGTGTTGGAGCATTCACCGCTTTTGGAAGCTGGTTGTTCCACTGGTTAATTGTTCTGTCAGGAAGTTTCTCCTTAGTTCTAAGTTGCTTCTCTCCTTGATCAGTTTCCATCCGTTGCTTCTTGTCCTGCCTTCAGGCGATTCATTTAACTGAGTAATTCGCGCGACCATGGCAAAAATTGGCACAACTTAACAGAAGTTCTAGTCCCAATTATGGTCGTAAGTCAAGGACTGCTTTATCTTCTAGGAAATCAAGATGCAAGTTGCTCCATTTTCTTTTTTCCTTTCTTTACAAGTTCAGTTAATAATCTTCCCTTCTATTGGCCAGGGGCTCTTTTTCAGTTGTAGTTGCTTCAAAATAAGGCTCCCGAATGCACTCAGGTAGTCCTGGACTTACGACCGGTTGCTTAGCATGGATGTCTCTTTTAATGGGCGGTCGTAAGTCGAGGACTACCCGAATGTCTCCGTTTCACGTCAGTTGAAAGCCCGAAGCCGAGGATCAGTAGCAGCCCTATTGTCTTGTGTACAGCAGTGTTCTGTCCCGTTGTGATCTTGTGTCTTGTGCTTCAGGCTGACTCTGTTGCTTGTCATGGACAATGCTTAGGACTTTCTACTTGGTCTTCTTTTTAATATGAATCGCTACGGGACGCTTTGTGCAGTGGTACATGTCAGGCGTGACCTGTGGGGAGAGAAAGGGAAAAAAAAGTGTTAACTGATTTTTGTTTTGTTTTGTTTGCTTTTAACTAGGCGTCAGAGTTAGGTCAGAGTTTAAATGAAAATGTTCTCAAACCTGCACAGGAAAAGGTAACTTTGACTGATGGCTTTTAAATGCAATTTCCTTCTGCAGCCAGTAAGCTGATTCAATATGAAGTATGTGTATTTGTAACATTAGTATGACCCTACTATCCCTATATCTCATCACTTATAGGTCCCGTCCAGACTTTTTGGGGTTATATTTTAAGATATCTACCAATTTAAGAGAATATTTTAGTGCAGGGTTGAACTGTGGGATCGTTGGTACTCTCTAAGCTTGGTTGTTTTTTCCCTGCAGGCATTTCATGACCCAACTAGGTAACATCATCAGTGCTAGAAGGGAGTGGAGTTTCCTCTCTGTTTATATATACAACTTGTCTTGTCAGTGTTGGTGGGACGTTCTTCTGGCCCTGATGATGTTATCTAGTTGGGTAAGGAAACGTCTGCAAAAAAAAACAACCAAGCTCAGAGAGCACCAAGGATCCCAAGACATCTACAGCCAAAATTCTGACATTCTGGTTTTAATCAGTGTGAGATGTTTCTTTCCCCGTTCGTCTTTCCCTCCTGTTCAGCCCTTCTGTCTCAAATTCTTGATTCCTTTGTTGCATCAAGATCTCAACTTTTTTTACAAAGACACTCAGGGTGGAATCCAGCCTCTCCTTCCCTTCTCCCCCCCCCCACAATCCCTAAGGTAGGTTAAATTGACCAAGGTCATCCAATGACATTTGTGTTAAAACCAGTTTGTACCTTGGTTTGACTTTCCCTAGCCCAGGGGTCTCCAAACTTGGCTGCTTTAAGACTTGTGGACTTCAGCTCCCAGAATTCCTCAGCCAGCTGAAGTCCACAAGTCTTAAAGTTGTCAAGGTTGCAGACCCCTGCCCTAGCCACTCCTAATAACTCCACCAACCCTCTTGTATCAACTGACATATGCCCTGTCAGCAAATTACGACATTGTGCCCCAGAAAATATAGAATTACCTTTACTTTTGTAGAAAAGTCATCGAGTGTACCAGTGGTTCTGTAGTATGGATTAATAGCAGACTGCAGTGTGTCATTCCTCTGAGGATACCGCTGTGTTGCGTGGCCATTGCTTGAAAATGAATCTAAGCGGAGAACTGCCAGCCCGTTCGTAACTCTTCAAGTTGGAAGCTTCCTTATTTGGCCGGAGGGTTCCGCAAATTTTCATGATAAAAAGCACGTTTGGATGAGTGTACTTTTCCCTGAGGATTGTGGCCCCTTTCCGTATCCCTAAAAAAAGAAAAATGTTCAGTTTTTGGATGACCGGTGGCAA